CGTCCATAGTGGACTGGATGGGCGTATATATACAATGGACACGAGTCAATCTGCCGGGGCGACCCGCCGGTAAGCTAGAGACGATTAATCCCATTCTGCAAACACGGAACGATACCCCTTTTTTGCCAAGTTAAATCAAAATGAAACGTCGATCGGTGTAGTGCGGTGTGTGTGTAGGTGCGCTCGGGGGTGGGTTGACACGCGCGCGCGCGAGCACAGGGAATCGATTGACCCGTTGCGGGGGGGGGGGGGGGGGGGATGGGAGCCACGTTCCGGTGTACGTGCCCGTGTAGATTGAGTCCGCGGGAGAACGAGGGATCTCGGCGACAACTAAGGGGCACGGCCGCAATCGGCGAAGGGTTTTAATGCTCCCTTTTTTTTTCCCTCTAATGATCGGGCTTTTTCTTTCTTTCCCTCGATTTTCCACGGGAGCTCTTGCTCCAATCAACTTTCGGGTGTTCAATATACCTATACACGTCTGATGGCTCATATACAGCCAATTGAACGATTAGGTTATTCATCTCTTGATGTGCTCACTTTTATGTTTCTTGTGTTTCTTTATTTCCCAGTACGAGGAATCGGTATAATTACAAAGTTATGTAATCTCATCATTTTTTCAAGTGCAACTTGAAAATGTTTAAAGAAGATTGTACAAAAATACTTTTTACTGCTTGAATTCAAATTCATTTTAAAGTTCGAATATTGCATTGTCTTTTTCCCAACTCATCGGGTAAAGATCGAGATATTACATATAGTTATGGGATCAGACACCTGTGAATTTCAATTACATACGTACTTTTGTCCTCTAAAAAAGTAATTGAAAAAAAAAGTCGATGCGTCTCGATCTCGTGCAACACCTTCGGCAGTAGAAGAGCTCCGTCGGATAGTACCGAGAAAAAAGAGGTCTAATTGAGAGAAGTCGGGTAGAGCTCTCGACCATAGAAAGGGGGGAGAGAGAGATCGTTATTAAAATGCCATCGTCGAGGATCGGTCCTCAAGTCAGTTTCGACCGGTTTCAATTTAGCAGATCTCCAATCCGCGCTTCTCCTCCTCCGCATCTCGACCATCCGTCCGTCTGTCAGTTGATTCGTGCGCGTGTGTTTGTCTCTGCGTTGATTAATTTTAATTCGCCAGCGTCAAGTGCTCGCTACGCGATGTTACGATTTTTCAAGTCTTTACGACTACATAAATGAGATCCAAGGCTCCAACTCAAAAATTTGTTGCTACCTATACTGTAACTTATGTATACATCGACGCAATCGTACGGTTCAAGTGTCGAACAATATATACCATTAAAACAAGATCCAAAAAATCTTGATAGCCATGAGTTTGTGGATGAAAAGTGATAACCAAGCACATGCAACGTCCGAGTTTGGCTTCGAAGGGGAAAACAGAGCGGAACTTTTGCATTCAACGTGGCAGAGGACAAAGCTATCTTACCGGCGAGTTTGAAGCGAATTTCTCTTCTTCCGTAAGGCGAGCCGGTCCCCAAAGTAAGCCAATAGACCAACCAACTCCAGAGAGAGGGAATTTATTTATTCAAGCACGAGACAAGTAGTGCGGAAAGCCTCGGTTCAAAAGCTTGCGAGTAGGACCACTTTTATACATGTATAGCTGTATGCGCACGGACTCGGTTTTCGTCTCCTCTCAAAAACCACTGGTACACCTACTCGGCAGTTTTTTTTTTTTTTTGTTTTTTTTCATCCCATACACCTATACTGTGTATCTCTGTACCGTTATACAATGTAGTCGAAAAATCGTAATCGGCTTGCACAACATAATATATTGTATACGTGTATCAGACGAGCTTGCATCTGTTACAGCGGTACAAGACACGTGTTACGTACACATCGGCAATAACTAATACTGTATACGTGCTCATCCCTGCACCTATAATATACACCCGACGATTCATCGCTCGAGGTGTATTACGCGAACGGGTAGGTAAGCCGATAGTATAGCTCTGGTGTACAACGGTAGCTCGTCGTCTTTACCGACCCCGTATATATTATATTGCCCGTCTTACAGCGGTGAACTAAACGCCCGGAGGGTCTCCTTACGTAATAGCTGTAACAGCACATGAAAATTAAGGGGGTTCGGTTTCAGCAAGGAGAGCTTATTCCCGTGCATCATATCACCACGCGGGTACCCACTTGTGTGTACATTATATCTTCCACTTGTCTCCCCTACAGACGATGATGATACACCCGAGGATTATTTATTATTCATTCCACGGCAATCGCTGCGACCGTGTAATACTTGGCTGTCTTTTTCATACACATACTGCAGCTTACGTATATACAATTGTACATGCACTTATAGGAGGGCGGATAGGTATGCCCGGTTACATTGTATTACGTGAAGCAATTCGCGCTATGGCTCCTACTGGATGAGTAAGGGTTCTTGTTATCTCACCGCGTATATGTATAATGGATATTATTGTATATACGTAGGTAGAGGAGAGGGACGCTCGGGACCGTCGTGTTGTTGCACGTAATGCACTCTATACATCAGCGGGTGCGAAATTGCACTTCACATCCCCGACACACCGGGGAGGCGGTCGCTCGCAACCGGGTTGGCTCTATTATTTATGTAAGGACGTTTAAAGCTTTTGTCGTGTCTACTATATACGAGCTTGAGTGCCATTGCAGGTGTATCACGTGTATATTGGTACCTAATGTAAATTATACAGTTGCGGTGGTGTGTGTTAATTTACTGATCGATGGTGCGCCCTAAAGGTGTTCATGTATGGCTTATTCCATGGCGCGTGTGATTATTTACAGATGTAACCGAAGCTGCCAACGGTTAATTGCACCCATTGTTTCTTTTTGAGAGTTTTGTAAGTGTACGACTGTCCCGGGTATATTGGGTACATAAATATATTCAGCTGCCGGATAGGGTATCTCCACCAGCTTGCATCGTTTTAAGGGTTTCCTCGGTTAAATTACAGTTGTGGAAATTAAATTTATGCTCTCTCTCTCTCTCTCTCTCTCGTATGAAAATATATTTATGTAAATTCGGTATAATAATGGTAACGATTCAAAGTGAACGCTATTATCTCATCCAAAAGAAAAAACGTCACCGTTAATCGCTGTTTCGTCCGGTAAGTACAGCCGCGAGTGAAGCTGAATCAACTTTATTGGCACTGAAAAAAAAAAAAAATACATATTAAATGGAGTCATGGCTTGTCTCGCAACTTTTCTCCATCTCAACAACAAAAATTTAATAAGTTCGTCAACAAACAGTCGTGCATAAGCCCTGAAACAAAGCCCTGGAGCTCCGCGGTAGTTTAAATTACGGAGCCACGACGACGAAAAAGCTCATCTCTGTGCCCGCTTCTCCTACCGTGTACCTGTGTTCTGTGTATACATATTTAATGCTCGTTACATCCGTCAAAGCGGCAAATAAACCGTTAGTGTCCCAAAGGGTGTAAAACAAAAATACCCAACTTGACCGAAACGAGTCTCTGCCATTATCAGCAGCCTCGCTTTGTCAATTCTCTGGTGTGCGTGTAAGCACAGTTTTTTCTCTCTCTCTCTCTGTACTTAGTATACAGTTGCGCCATTGTGCGCAGTATAGTTGCATGGAATCGCATCAAGAGATACGGAGTTGGGTACTTCCTCTCCCGTTTACTTATCATCCTATGCACACGGTCTCCGCTGCGAATCGCGCGATCGAGTACCGATTTTTTTTTTNTGTTTAACTTTTTTTTAATCAACTATTATTCGAGAAAATGTTATCTGCTGGGGTGAATTTAGTATACGTTGGCATTAAACCCACAGGGTCAAACTTGCTATTATAGCTCGGATTTTAATTATAATAATCAATCGAGTGGGAAAAGTAGCATTGAAAGCAATGCTATATATATATATATATATATACCTATGATATAATAGTAGCAACGTTTGAAGAGGATTTATAGCCTGCAGGAATGGTGAGAGAGGGTAAGGGAGGGGGATAGATCTAGCGTGAATTCGTAAGGAGTAACGTGATGCAAATGAGCAATGAAATATCGTGGTATCTGTGGTTACTCGCAGGAGGAGTTCGACGACAGACCGAGGGCCGCGACTCTGCTCAAGAGCCTGTCGGACTACAGCAACACGATACCCGCGCCCACGGATCCGGACGCGAAGCCGGGCACCCCGAGCGCTGGCAAACCTGGTGGCGCTCGCATGGGCACCCTCATCGGCGTCTACCTGCCCTGCATCCAGAACATCTTTGGCGTCATCTTATTCATTCGGCTCACGTGGGTCGTTGGCACCGCCGGGGCCGTTCAGGGCTTCCTCATCGTGTTCTGCTGCTGCTGCGTCGTTAGTACCTATTTTCACTCTTAGAAATCCATTTTTTTTTTTTTTTTTTTTTTTTTAAACTTTGTTGGTAAACAGGGACTAAAGTGGTGGTAGGTAGTAAAATCCCATATCTTTTTACTCGCTATACATCCAAACTAGACCATACTTCTTCCTCTACTACTACTACGGAACACGTTAAATAAAGCCTTTGGTGGAGCAACCTCGGGTTGATAAGCTTTCCCCAGCTCGATTACGTCATCGCCGTTGAACGTCACGATAGACCGGTCCATTGGAAACAATAGAGACACGACTGGCGACAGCCCAACGTGGCCCCGTACAATGTCCCGCCGTAATCATCCCAGTCCTGCAGTGTGTAGTTGGGCATGCACATATATATATAACCGGATCGGAGGGCAGACGGAGAAAAGCGATTATGCCAGCAGCGCGGCGTTATCCCCCGCCTTGGCAAGGACGACAAAAGAGCCGCGCGTTCAAGTCTCCGATGAAACGTGCAAGGGCATCACAATGGACGTTTGCGCGATGATTGAGTCGAGGGCCGTGACTCGCTGACTTTTCCCAAAACTCGACCAATATATAAATATATTATGTATATATACGCATGCGTTTTGAGTCTTATTACAATTCAACAATCAATCAATTGTCGTGACCATCAAGTACTAATGGCCGCTCGTTTGCTTTGGGGTGTTTCAGGTGATGGAGGCGACGCCGTCGGGGATGGCGAGCCGATTGTCAGCGGCGGTGCCGAGGACTCGTCCAGATATGGCCAGCTCTACCTCTACAAAGTGAGTAATATCGTTCAAAGAGAACGAAATACATACGTACGCATCCTCTCTACGTTTTATCCATCCTTTTGTGCATCGAGAGTCCGAAGAGTGCAACTTTATATATAATAGGAGCAGTCGAGGGTTGGAGTATATTATCACTGTGCTCCTGGGTGTGAGTAATAAATTTCGTCCAAGCTTTCTATGAGCGTGTCGATTAGCCGATGCACAAAAAGATTCTTCCCCCTCTCGCTTTGGAAAATCGGGATGTAGGAAAAAATTGAAAGATTTTTGTACGGAGTAGCAAAAAAGGAAGGCCAATTACAATTTTCAATATGCAGGCCAGCTCCGCGCGTTTTCTTGGGATGAAGGGTTCGCGTTCTCTTTGGTGTCCATGGACATGTATATGCGTACAGACACGCGCGTGGAGAAAAAAAGGACCTTGCCACGACTTTCCCACCCTCTTCGTTCTGTATTTATAGACGAGCCAATGTAGGACAGTACTGCAATTCCGCAATCACCATCATTCCCTTCTCCTCCCCCCTCCCTGTAATACCCTACTCCGCGATAATCACCTGACTTTGGCATTAGCGCTTCATTGATGCGCTCCTCGAGACCCGAGCTCCCTCGTCGTCCCCCTCTTTGCGAGCGAATTGAAAATTACTCACCCTTGGCCGCGTCATTTTCTTTGAGCCGCTGATTTTCTTTCACGCCTCTCTGATGCGCCACCTTTCGCGCGACCCGCTAGATTGCTTGCATTGGATTTTCCTCGCTCTATGCGTGGGTGGGACTTTCTTCGCGTCTCCATTCGCGGACCAAATTGGTTCGCTGACGGTGCAAGGCTCTCACAATCTATATTTATCCTGTTATTATACCTTCGACTTCGAATGATGTCGTTACACATTTACGCGGTTTTTTTCAAAATAATATTGAAATTTCAATTAAAAGCACGACATTGTTTACATCGCAAAGCGGAATACAATATGTAGCCAATAAGAGGGGAATACGACAAATTGGGTGCACGAGATCGAGGTGTGGCGATCGGAAGCGATCACTTGATGCCCAAGAATATACGGAGTAGTCAAGGTCGCCGGGAGAGATAGAGAGAAATCGAACGACAATTTGGTGCTTCTTTTTTTTAACGAAGGGCCCTCTTTCACTGTCCCACTGATTTTTCCCTCATCCGCTCGTGATCGTGAACATATAATTTCCATCCTACGAACTCGGTCTGGAGATGGAAGGGCGACATGTGGCGCAGGGGGTTGATTTTTTTACAGCTGATTAGTATCGCACGCGGATGAACGATTTCGTTCGGAGGAGAACTCGCGAAATAACCTTTCACGTCAAGGACGCTCATATACCCGCGTGTTTCCTTTTTCTCCCCCCCCCTTTTTTTTTCGGTAAAATTCGCCTCGATAATTCCACTTTCCTCTCCCCCTCCCCCTATAACCCCCACGTCGTATTCCTCGTGCGATTAGATGCCAAATCGTCCGAATGTAGGTGGAATTGCACAGCGGTGCGAGAAAATTACTCCGATGCCCTGGATACCGGATAAGGCGCGCGTGTCTCGATTTTCCGAAAATTCGTGTACGTGTACCGCGTGAATTTTGCGACAGAATGTTTCGAAGCTGAAAACCATCGAGACTTTACGGAAAAAAAAAAAAAAGATTCACAGTGATTGCCCTCAGATGGCGTCTGACCATACGTTGAGTGGATCTACTTAAAATTAGGACGTCGTTGGTTTTAAAGAGCAAAAACCGTTTTAAACATGTTTATCTTTTGGATTGATTTTACGATACGAATCAGTCATTAAAGGAGAGCAAAAATAAGCCCAAGAAACAAAGTGTTGGCAGAACTTTTTGAATCGACCGTCATGGTAAAGTTGTCATCATTTTTTATTTAGAAAAATGTTTCCTGCATAAGTTATATAAAAATAAAATAGTACGATGTGTAGTTAGAGTGGTAAAGTGTAAAGTATTATTTGATTTACTATTTTTTGGCACACCTCGAATTAAAATAAAACTCTCACTCTCGCGTGTAGAGGGTGCAAAAGTATAGGCCAAAAAAGTACATGTATAACCTTATCGATCCGAGCACTTTGCACATCAGCATATTTTTTTGAAAATAAATGAAAAAAAAAAAAAAAACGAAATACAAGAGCTCGTACACTGATAAACGAAGCATTCCACTTCTCACCCTCCCTACCCATACGAAAATGGATCGTGACTCGTGACGGATCTCACAACCCCTCGCTCGGATGAAAAAAAAAATTGCCTACCAACGCGTTTTGCTCGCACACGAGATGCCCCTTTTGTCGACGTCTCCTCTCTCTCTTTCCCCCTCGCTACAGCGAGTTTGGCATTTATTTTCATCTTCGTCGAGCCGAAACAGCGAGACCTTCGCATTAGCCTGCATCTTCCACATTTTTTTTTTTTTTTCTCCAACTGATCAACGAAGATTGTTTATTTATTTTACAAAGTTATACAAGAGGCGACGAGGACGAGAGATCGGATGGCACAGTGAGGCACCGATAGTGGGGGAGGCCGATGTCTATAATCGCGCGGCTACAAGAGCGGCTCTCAAACCCTCGACCTCGTTTCTTTTTGTCCGCGTGGCTTCATCTTTTTTCTCTCATCGCGCAACGTCGCAGTTTTAATTGTCCCGAGATTTTTAAAAAGAACTCAAATTATCCTTTTGTTTGCCCCCACCCGTAGCCTCATTGGCGCGCGGATTTTTTTAACTGTCTCCGTTGCACTGGAGGATCCCGCTCTCTTGGTGTCGCCTTTGAATTCAAAAGTGACGAGCGAACGTTTTCTCAACTCCCTTTTCTTGTTTCGTTGATAAAACAATCGAGCGCATGCACACATAACATGGAAATTCTTTTAACATCAATCGTCCTTTGGAGCTAATGGCATATTGAAATCCTTGAAATCTCGTGGATGCGTTTTTTGCTATTCAACAGTATCACCGTCTCATTCAAGTATTCACCGACTAACACCGCTACCGCCGTCACGTGTGTACCATGTGAGCCGAAAAAGCTCGCGCGCGCCAATTGACTTCTCGTGTATGGTCCTAATTGGCCGTAATTAGCACTGACGAGTAGTCCGGCGCTAACTCTGTACACGCGCCGGGGGGGCCGAGCATCAGCTGCGCAGCTTTAATTTGGAAAATCCGGCAGCGCGAAATTACCATACCTCGTACCTACTTACGCGGCCTTTGGAAATTAGAATTCCGGAGATAGAGAGGTAGAGAGAGAGAGAGAGAGAGAACAGTGTCGAGGAACTTTCTGAAGTAATAGCAAGAAAGAGGGGGTCAAAGGAGAGGAGAAGGCCTCGGGGCGCAATTTTCTGGCCAGGAGCAGCAGCGGGAACTTGGCACGCAGACACGTGAAAAGCCGCGTTCGCTATTTCCCAAATTTTATTTTTTAGTTATGCACCCACTGGAATCTCTTCATTGTCGCCTTAATCATAAAACTCAGGTGATGATTGACTAAATTCTAATGTCCAACTTAACTGACATCGGATTTTAAGACATCATTTTTTTTCAATTGTTCCAACAATTTTTAATACGCTGAAAGATTATTATCATATTCAACGAAATTTTGGAAGATAATTCTACAGTTTTGTGTATTTTCTACGATTAATTTCGAATTGTGGAATCAGCTTCAAAAACACTTTGGCCTAAAAAAAAAAGAAATTAGTTTATAGATCTGACTTTACTCAACATAATTTGATGATTATTAGGCGGATAAAAAATCGTTCTAACCGTTTAAAAAAAAATATTTATCTTAAAATCCTTAAAAATCCCGTATTAATTAAATAAGAAATCGAAATCAAGTTAATTTAACTTTTGAATTTATCACCACAGGATTAATGACTGAAAAAAATAAAATTTTGGAAATCACAAACAACGCCCTAATACGCATATAGAGGATTAGGTACTACACGCACATACGTGAGTGCTGATGCTGCTCTTAAAGCACGATGAGCTAATTTAATTTGTCCGTGCGGACTTATTGTGTTATTCGGAGCGGAGTTTGGCAGCTGCCTTTTCGCGAAAGGGGATTTTACTTTAGGTACGCTATTACTCGCTGCTGTACTATGGATGTTGCTATGTGGACCAATTAAGCGAGTATGTAGCATATATGCGTATGATGTTTGATTGTGCTGTTCGCGTTTGTACGATGACAATCGCAGTGTTGCAAGTTACAATACATGGGTAAAAAGACAAAAGACAAATAAGTTATTTTTCAAACCATATGAATAATAGTCTCTAAAGATCCAAAGTTTTTTTATTTATTTTTTTATCCTCTCGAAAAAGAAAAAAAAAAAAAAAAAAAAAAAAAAAAAAAAAAAAAAAAAANAAAAAAAAAAAAAAAGTCCTAGAGGAAAAAAAAAACCAGCCGAAAACGTAAAAGATGAAAGCTTACACTACAGTAAATTTGAGTGCATCGTGTGAGAATCATTTGATCGATGAATTATTTATTCAAATGGACTCGGTAGCGCGTCAGCATAATTTTACAGTTCTAGTGGATTTCTTGCTTTTACTCGCATCCATAATAGGTTTTCTACTCGGTGCATTGGGAACCAGTGTTTATCTTGTTTATACAGCACAATATAAATATATTGGAAATCCATTGTTACAATATTAATTCTTTCAACAAAATAATATGAGTTGTTACAAAGAACACGTGAAAAAAATTTAATGGAGAGCAGATTATTTCTGGAAGTACGAGAAGAATGACAATGCGAAATAATTCAGTGGAAACAGCGGAGCTAATGAAAATATTTTCTTAATTTCGGCGTAGTTCTGTGTGATTTCACGAGGAATTTCATTATACTTGCTTCAACTGTAGAGCAGTAAAAAAGTTGTTTCGCCAGGAATCTCGAGAACTGTTAATTGCGTTTATTTTCTTATACAAGTTTTAGCACGACTATGAAGAGAAAACTAGTCAATGAAAAAAAAAAAAAAAAAAAAATTGTTTTTTCTTTTCGACTAATGAAGAGGAGAGATGCTACAGCGCAGCTCCCAATAAAGTTAACTTTATCCTTACTACACACATACATATAACCGCGCATTTATTTTTAATATAATTTTGTTATGTAGTATGAAGAAAGCGTGCAATTTATAAATTTAAACAACAATCGTCGAAGCAAATTGTCACAACACCTCTTTTCCCTTTCCGTACTAATTATACAAGATAATCAGTTTCTACTCCATTGTTAAATAATCAAATCGTGCTCATTAGTTATTAACTTTTAATTAACCAGCCAACTCCCAACCGTCAAAGCATCTCTAACAATTCGCGCTCTTTCACCAAGGACCTCCCAAGGGTGCCATTTCTCTCTTATCTTTTTCCATTTTTTTTTCTCTCTCTAAATCATCAGACAGCTAAAACTGACGGTATAAAATGAAAAAGTCCCCAGTGGCCGGACGCCCAAGGAGGATACAGAAAATACGCCAAGCATTTCAATTTGCAAGGACTTTCCTCCAAAAGTTGTCCAGCCCAGAGTCGCTTCGGCTGACGTATCACCCGCAAAGCGAGCAAATTTAACCCCAACCCCCTCGAGCCCGCGATTTATCAATCACCCGCGCGCTACAGCCATGCGTTTCGTGTATCCATGTGTACACGCTCCCCGTCACTTTTTCTCACGAGGGGCCGGACGTCGAATAAGCTTAATGGAAATTTCGGTTCGACTCTTCCAACATCGCACACATACATACCCAGACGACCTTCGCTCCATTTCGTTCCTTCTGATGCTCCCCGTCGTCGTTTGCTCGTTTACGTAATGCTCGCGCGGAGCTTATGAGTTATGTCTCTGTTTCCCCCTCACCCCACATCTGCTTCTCTCTCTCTGAGGACACATCTGTGGAAATTGGGTTAGTTGAATGTACACGCCGGTTGTTTATTTTCATCTGCATCGGCTTACTTGGGATATTATTTATATACGGTGATGGGTGTACTTTATTCGCCGACGATGTTCGTTCGACTTGACAAAACATTTACTTCCATCGAGTCATCGATGAGTGTATTTATATCCATGGTATGTGCCCACGGACATCAAATACTTATTTTTCGCGTTTGATGAAACATTGTTCTTTAATATCTGTTTTCGCAACGACGCGGATGTACGTTTTTATAACTCAAAGTTTCATGCGGGACCCAAAAAAAAAAGGGGGTGGGAGGTATAAGTAATAAGCTTTGCGTATAGCGTGTGTGCAGTGAAATATATGTGCATTATGGCGCAATAAAGAGGAAAAATCTGAAAGGACAAAAAGTCGAGGAGGAGCTTCGAGTAGTCGAGGTCCGTGTATGGTCAGCCGTGTGTCAGCTCCGCGTGGACGAGATATTTCAGGGTTTCGCAGCGTTGGCTTTTTATATCATCCCTCGAGATTGCGATGAATATTAGTAAAGAGGATGTAGCTTTATTCGTCCTTCGCCATATTATGTGGTACTATTGTTTTTCTCCGCGATCAGGTAATATAACCCCGATGAATAGCGGCTCGAGTAGGCGTCAGTTGGATTTCCATTGGAAATGTTTTCTATGAATTTTCTTCTTTTTTTTTTTTTTTCAATCGATTCATTAAATATCTCCCCGTAATACCTATAGACGGTCTGGTACTTTGTGCGCCTGTAAATATGTACCCCTATGATATTCGGTAACGGAGCAAAGAAAAATCATCAAACTCGGGCACATCTTGAGAAAAATGGACGATAAGTATAGCGAGCAACATCCAGACGTACAGCTTTGTATTTTCGTGCATTCACCCTAATAACTTTATTAAAATCGATCGGGCTTCGGGCCGAGGAAAGGAGAAGGAGCTGGTCTACTGTAAAAAAAAAAAGAAAAAATCCTCTTCTCGGTTTTCTTTCACGAACCGGGGGATCAGCTCGTAATCGAAAAAGCGTCGTTCGCAGAGTAGTTCTACAATTACGGGGCGCTCCTCTTCGGGCGCAAAAAAGCAGAGGAGGTTTTTTAATATTCCTCCTTTTTTTTGTTTTTTTTTTTCTCCCGAGAAAGGTCCACTTTGCTGCTTTATTTGACAAAGGCGAAAAAGAAAATCCTGGCTCCATAGCAAAGTAACAGCAGATCGTGTACTTGGAATTAAAAAGTACGCTGCCTTCGCGTTAAGGAGACCTGCATGAAATTTAAATACCCGAGCGGGTGCTTATACGTAATAAAACAACGAAGGATAAAAGCTGAGTGCAAAAAGAGTTTGGAGGAAAGAAAAAAGGGAGATTGGCAAGGAAGGTGGGGCGAATGAATTAGTATATTATTTTCTCGCTACAACCCTTTTTTTCCTCCATCCACCCTCGCTATGGCATGCAATTAGGAGCAAAAGATACGGCAGTTGGTGGATCTTGGATGTGTTTTGTCCTTATACCTATACCGCTTGACACTTGTAAGGGCGCGAGTCTTGGCGTAAAACTTTTTTAAGGGGATCGGTCCTACTTTGCACAAGAAAAATTGGGACGGCGAAGATGAAAACTTCCCCCCCCCCCCCCACTGACTGATGTACAATTTATGCGCGAACTTTTTCAACGTCACTGCTACTTATACTTGTGTATAATAAGTAGTCATGGTTTTTTGTCACAACTTCATGCGATGAACACCAAACTCTTCTTTTTATGTATCATATAATACTTATATACAGGTACATGGAAAACAATTGAATAAACTGAGCTTCAGTTACTACATACGTATAGACAATCATTGTTTAACTTTTTTTTAATCAACTATTATTCGAGAAAATGTTATCTGCTGGGGTGAATTTAGTATACGTTGGCATTAAACCCACAGGGTCAAACTTGCTATTATAGCTCGGATTTTAATTATAATAATCAATCGAGTGGGAAAAGTAGCATTGAAAGCAATGCTATATATATATATATATATATACCTATGATATAATAGTAGCAACGTTTGAAGAGGATTTATAGCCTGCAGGAATGGTGAGAGAGGGTAAGGGAGGGGGATAGATCTAGCGTGAATTCGTAAGGAGTAACGTGATGCAAATGAGCAATGAAATATCGTGGTATCTGTGGTTACTCGCAGGAGGAGTTCGACGACAGACCGAGGGCCGCGACTCTGCTCAAGAGCCTGTCGGACTACAGCAACACGATACCCGCGCCCACGGATCCGGACGCGAAGCCGGGCACCCCGAGCGCTGGCAAACCTGGTGGCGCTCGCATGGGCACCCTCATCGGCGTCTACCTGCCCTGCATCCAGAACATCTTTGGCGTCATCTTATTCATTCGGCTCACGTGGGTCGTTGGCACCGCCGGGGCCGTTCAGGGCTTCCTCATCGTGTTCTGCTGCTGCTGCGTCGTTAGTACCTATTTTCACTCTTAGAAATCCATTTTTTTTTTTTTTTTTTTTTTCTTCAATGAAATAATTGTGTGGAAATTTAAGGGACGCAACGAGTTTCGTGGTTGCAACTGTGGGGCCACTCTGTGTTTTCATGTGGCCTGATTTGCCGCAGTTTATAATTAAAAACTTTATTCGAGTCTGAAGGTGTTTTTTTTTTCAAAGTATCTCTCCCAACGCGTAGTCGGTCATCAGAGTTGATGTGTGTATAATTAACGGGGTACTTGCACCTGGGTAAAAGTTTCTCGTGGGCATTGCATGGAAGTGAAAAAAAAAAAAAAAAAAAAAAAATTCTATTGTATTTATATCGCTCCTACCCGGCATTGCATCCACAGACGATGCTGACGGCAATAAGCATGAGCGCTATAGCGACAAACGGCGTCGTGCCGGCCGGTGGCTCCTACTTCATGATATCGCGAAGTTTGGGCCCCGAGTTTGGCGGGGCCGTCGGTATGCTGTTCTACACGGGCACGACCCTCGCCGCGGCCATGTACATCATCGGCGCCGTCGAGATCGTCCTGGTGCGTATGACAACCACGTAAATTGCCACAAACACCCTTGGTTTTGCTGACGCTTTCCACCCGTAGACGTACATGGCGCCGACCCTCAGCATATTCGGCGACTTTACCAAGGACGCGAGCATCATGTACAACAATTTTCGGGTGTACGGCACGTGTCTGCTGATGGTCATGGGGACGATAGTCTTCATCGGCGTCAAGTTTGTCAACAAGTTCGCCACCGTGGCCCTGGCGTGCGTCATTTGTTCCATCATCGCCGTGTACGTCGGTCTGTTTTGCAACTTTTACGGCAACGACAAGCTCAAGTGAGTCCCTTTTCTTGCATCACTGACCCACACAATGCATATACATACATGTACCTGTACTCTATTGTAAATTAAAACCGTGTGCACACGGATAGGATGTGCATCCTGGGCAAGCGGTTGCTCAAGGACATAAACGTGCAGGCTCATTGCTACAAGTACTCGGCCTTCCTGAACAAGACCTTCTGCACGAACGAGCGAGGCAACCAGTGCGACCCGTACTACTTGACGAGCGACGTGAGCATCAGGACCGGCATCCGCGGGCTCTACAGCGGGGTGTTCTTTGGTGAGCCAAATCCACCCTGCGAACAATTTTTACCCGAGCTTTTTATATTGCTTTTACGTGGTTGTATGTGGGTTACGCGACGTTTATCTCGCTTGCAGAGAACCTGATGGGCAGTTTCCAAGAGACGGGCCAGTACATCGCCTACGGGGACAACCCGAGGGACATTGACTTTATGGGCGGCAGCTCGTACAATCAGATCCAGGTAGATCTGACGACCACCTTTACCATCCTCATCGGCATATTCTTTCCCTCGGTGACAGGTGAGGTGGAACAAACAACAAATGGGAGTTTACCGTCACTTTACGGGTCCGTCGTTGCTTGCAGGTATAATGGCCGGCTCCAATAGATCCGGGGATTTGGCCGACGCCCAAAAGTCCATCCCGATAGGTACGATCTGCGCCATCCTGACGACCTCGACGGTCTACCTGTCGTGCGTGCTCCTGTTCGCCGGTACAGTGGACAATCTTCTGTTGAGAGACAAGTTTGGCCAGAGCATCGGCGGTCGGCTGGTCGTCGCTAACATAGCCTGGCCCAACGAGTGGGTAATCCTGGTGGGCTCGTTCCTCTCGACCCTCGGGGCGGGCCTGCAATCCCTCACCGGGGCACCCAGGCTGCTCCAGGCCATCGCCAAGGACCAGATCATACCTTTCCTCGCGCCCTTCGCCAAGAGCTCGAGTCGGGGCGAGCCGACCCGCGCCCTCATCCTCACCGTCGCCATCTGCCAGTGCGGCATCCTCCTCGGCAACGTCGATTACCTAGCGCCCCTACTCTCCATGTTTTTCCTCATGTGTTACGGCTTCGTCAATCTAGCCTGCGCCGTCCAGACCCTCCTGCGCACCCCCAACTGGAGGCCCCGTTTCAAGTATTACCACTGGACCCTGTCCTTCCTCGGGCTGTCGCTCTGCATCGCCGTCATGTTCATGACCAGCTGGTACTACGCCCTACTGGCCATGGGCATGGCCGGCTGTATCTACAAGTACATCGAGTACCGGGGCGCGGAGAAGGAGTGGGGCGACGGTATCAGGGGTCTGGCCCTATCGGCTGCCCGTTACTCCCTCCTGCGGCTCGAGGAGGGCCAGCCGCACACAAAGAACTGGCGGCCCCAGATTCTCATCCTGTCGAAGCTCACCGAGGATCTCGTGCCCAAGTACCGCAAGCTCTTCGCCTTCGTGAGCCAACTGAAGGCCGGCAAGGGTCTGACCATCACCGTGGCCTGCATCGCCGGGGACTACTCGAGGCGCTCGGGTGACGCGAGCGCCGCGAAACAAGCCATCAGACGGACCATGGAGGAGGAAAAGGTCAAGGGTTTCGTGGACGTGCTCGTCACCCGTAACGTCATAGACGGGCTGAGCTCGCTCGTCCAGATGACCGGCCTCGGCGGGATGAAGCCCAATTGCGTGATCCTCGGCTGGCCGTACAGCTGGCGCCAGCCCGAGAGCGAGCGCACCTGGCGCGTTTTCCTGCAAACCATGCGCAGCGTCACCGCGGCCAAGATGGCCCTCATCGTCCCAAAGGGTATCAACTTCTTCCCCGACTCGAGCGAGAAGGTCGTCGGGGACATACACGTATGGTGGATCGTGCACGACGGTGGCCTCCTCATGCTTCTGCCCTTCCTCCTCAAGCAGCACCGCACCTGGAAGAACTGCAAGATGAAGATCTTCACGGTGGCCCAGATGGAGGACAACTCCATTCAGATGAAGAAGGACTTGAAAAAGTTCCTCTACGACCTTAGAATCGAGGCCGAGGTCGAAGTCGTCGAGATGGTCGGTCACCTTTTTTTTTTTTTTTTTTCACCTAGACTTACTCGAATACTTGTCTCGATTATATCGTTTTCCGCTTTTTGCAGATGGACTCGGACATTTCCGCTTACACGTACGAGAGGACGTTGCTCATGGAGCAGAGGAACCAGATGCTACGGGAGCTGCAACTCAATAAGAAGGAATCCCTCGGCATCGTAAGTCGTTTCAACTTAACAGATTCTCGTTTTTATTGTTATCACATCAAGTTGTACAATAATAATAATAATAATAATCTATATACAATGTTTTTAATGCGGGACTCGAAATAACTGTTTCAAATGGTTTCACGCGATAAACGAGCTTCTTTTTTTTTAGTATATTAACTCACGTGAATCTGTTTGAAACTGGAATTTCGACGAGCCTTATACTTTTGTTTGATGGTACAGCTATAAAAAAAAAAAAAAAAAAAAAAAAAAAAAAAAAAAAAAAAAAAAAAAAAAAAAAA